ACGGACGTCTTGAGAATGTCTTGCATGTGCCTAGGATGAGAAAAACTTATTCTCCGTTCAAGCTTGCACATCACATGGACTGGAAATATTGTTCAAAGGTGATAACGTGAAGACCATATGCAGAGATGAGGTATTTGTTACTGGGGTAAAGCAATCAAATGAAATTTACAGGATGCTCCTGTGCCCCCTGGCTTTTAGACTTCACGAAGCGAATATTTGCGTGGCGAGTTTCAAAGTGTGGCATGATCGTCTGGGGCACTTGAACATGCAAGCTCTTCAGGAATTTAGTTGGAGAAATTTAGTTGACAGCATGAGAGTGACCAGCCACGTAAAGTTTTTCTGCAAGTCTCGTCAACTTGGCAAGGTGCATCGACTTAAATGTAAGAAAAAGATCGAATGAAAAGTAAGCCCTGGAGCAATAAACACAGTGATGTGTGTGGGCCAATGCCCGAGAGTTCAATTAGAGGGGCTCGTTTTATACTTATTATCAAGGATGATGCCGCGGGCGATTGACACGTGTACTTTCTTAAACATAAAACGGACGTTTATGAGCACTTCGTAGACTTCGAGCGAGAAGTACGGAACAGATTGGACAAGCCGATGAAAACTCTGAGGAGCAACAACGGTTCTGAGTACGTAAATGAGCGCCTCAATAGTCACCTAACCTCACTTTGTATCGTGTATGAGTGTACCGTACTTTAGACACCAAAACAGAATGGCAAAGCTGAGAGAAATAACCACACAATCGTCGAATGCGCCCGCACCATGCTCAAGGCTAGAAGTCTCCCTGATTCACTGTGGGTAGTGAACTGCGCTATTAACATCCTAAATAGAGTGTCTGCTGCTACTAAGGATCCAAGAAAAATGACTTACGAGGCTTGGATGCAAGATACCAGACGTGGGGCACGTGCGTGTATTTGGTATGGAAGCATACATGCACATTCCCAAAATGTTTACAAAAAAATCGACTCTCGATCAAAGAAAGTGATATTCGTTGGCTATCAAGACAACTCCAACAACTACAGACTGTTTGAACCATCCACGAGAAAGATTACTGTCTCGTGGAACGTGATATTCATCAAGAGTCCCTCGAATCAAGTCAAACTGGACATCACGTCTGATGACAAGAAGTTTCTGTTGTTCCGGAGCGATCAGGCTCAGGGCCAGGGCGAAGGATCAGACGAGGTCGAAGTAAAGCTGATTAACGCTGGAAGAGAAGAAAATAGGAGGCTGAGTACCGCAACCAAAAATAGCAACATAGCGCCCCGCCTGCACCGAACGATCAACGGCGCTTACGTGACAGATCTGCCATTAATCGACCTTCACGCTATACAATGAACTTTGCTTCTCTAAATATACCAACAAGTTTGACAGAGATTGCGAATGGTCCATATTAAGAGAAGTGGCAGAAGGTTATCAGCGATGAGCTTGAGGCTCACCGCTGGAATGGCACTGGACCGCTGAGAGTTCTCCTGGCACACATCGTTCAACATGGTCTCAAGATAGTGACCTTCAACGTTTGAGCTGCATTTTTCTACGGTGAACTTGACGAGAGAATCCTGATAGAGGTTCCAGAAGACATAGATGTGCGCCCCACTGAAAAGGACAGCGTTCTGTGCCTACTCCGTAAATCTCTCTATGGGCTCAAACAGGTGCCACGCTGTTGGAATTTAAAATTTAAACATTTTCTCAATCGGTTTCAGAACAAAGGGAGCAGTGCTAATAGGTTTATCTTTATAGGCCGTTACAGTGACTCTCTTGTTTGTTTAGCCCTGTTCGTTGATGACGGCTTGCTTGCATGCAAGTTTGCGAAAATTTAAAATCTTGTGTTACAGAAATTAAGTGAAAGCTTCGAAATAACTTTTGGCGATAGAAGCTACTTCGTTGGGTTACAATTGTATCGTGATGGAAAAAGTAATAGTCTATTTTTAAACTATAGTGCTTATATTAACAAAATCCTTTGTAAATTCAAAAGGAGTAATGTCAAAACAGTCAGTTCGCCTGCCAATCCCCATGTACATCTGTAGCCAGCAGAGAAAGACAAAACAAACGATCATAAAGTTCCTTACTGCGAAGCCGGTGGTTTACTAATGTTTTTAGCCATCGTCTCCTGACCTACTGACATCGCGTTCAGTGTAAGTGTCTTCAGTAGACACCTCAACAATCACGACCCCAATCATTTTCGGGCATAAAACGCGTTTTTGCATACTTGTTGGTAACGAAGAATTTTGGAATGCTACATACAATAGAAACTTACGTAAATGGTCCTATTGGATACTCAGATGCTAATTTTGCCAGTGACGTTGAAACTTGTAGATCCACTGCGGGATGTGTTTTCTGTATAGCTGGAGGCCCAATTACTTGGCTATCGCAACATCAGAAGCTAATTACCCTTATCACCACCGAGACTGAATGCGTTGCAGCGGCATCAGCTGCCAAAGAAACAGTATGGTTACGAAAACTGTTAAATGATATCTTGTGTCAAAACGTAAAGAGCATGACCCTTTTTGTCAACAATCAAAGCGCCATTCATCTAGCTGAGAATCCGGAATGCCACAAGAGACCTTAACACATTAACATACGATAAAATTTCTTCAGAGAGAAGTATGAAGGCGGTGAAATTTCGACCGAGTGTATTCCATCCAGATCTCAATTGACAGATATTCTAACCAAGGCACTGCCTTGTAGCAGCTTTAATAATATGCAAGATTTCCTAAATGTACATAACAAGCCAAAGTGGTAAGATATATATGAAGCTCTCGAAACGGCGGAAGTGTTGCATATGTTCTTCAAGTTTTGGAATCGCGCATACACTAAGAAATTCTTTATTTATTTGCGTGCTCAATTCACCTGCCACCTGCAGGCGCATTGACTCTTTCTTTTTTTGCAGCATTCAGTTCGTTACGCGACACAAGCCTGTAAAGAGGACATACCTTAATCTTCTTGTTCTCGTAAATATACTTTATCATACTCAAGCTGTCACTGAATCCATCGAAAAAGCCCAAAAAAAAAACTTGATAATCTCTGACGTAATTAAATCACAAGTTTTTTTTGGTGTATCTGCAAATAGGAGGCTAGCATACTCACCACTAAGTCATCAAAGCTCTTTAAAGCTCTTTAAAACTGTAATAGTTTTATAAGCTAGATATTAACGTCTCCCTAAAGTATAGAGTTCAATAAATAGGTTAAGCTTATAATATTTTTAGTGTGAGTATGCTAAGAATTTATGAGTCTTAAATAAATAGAATATAAACTATTTAACATCAGATTAAGGTATAACTGAAAATTTTCTAAAAAAATAATATAAATTTCCACAAGCACGTATGAAAAATTCTCATTAGAAAATATTAGAAAATTTTTTTCTTATATTACTAGTAAGCCCTACGAGTTGGTTCGAATAATTAAAATTAACACAGAACTTACAGACCTTCAGCTTGGAATTAAAAATGTTAGTTCGACGACTAAAATCACGTTAAAAGCTTTCACTTTTTTTAGAAAGCTTTTATCACTTTGGAGTTTCCAAAAAACACTTGAACTTAATGATGTACCGTATGGAAAAAAAATCAGTAATAGGTTACATATAATTACGTAATAGTAATATTTACCAGAGTCTAGAGGCGCCTTGTGGTGAAGTCGAAGCCTCCCAGTATCTCAATCAGCATAGTAACCATCCAGTGTACATTTCGAATGTGTTAAATAATATTTACCGTTAAAAACTACAGATGTAGATGATTCAAAAACATGCACTTAAAAATATTAATTTATAGCTACCGAGTCATGGATCAACTAATGCTTGTATAATACGTATAAGTTTATTTTACATAATCAAATTGTAATTAAAACCTTAGTTTTCAGAAAAATATTGGTCAGAGTAAGAGTAATGAACAGTTTAAGTTTGAGTGTGTAATATTGTTTTTCAACTATCTTGCCAGTAAAATACTAAAAGCTCACGTTCGCTTAAAACTTACAATTGCAGTTAAACTATTTATAATTTTAGACTTAATTGAAATTCTTTTACCAGACCAAGACTCAGAAAGAGAGAGAGCTTATTTGAAACATGTCCTAGTAAAGTATCAATAGTTAAATAGGTTAAAAGAAAAAAGTGATTTCTGTATAAGTTCAGAAATACTAAAAGATATCCATTTAAGCTGCAATACATTTAAATTGCACTGCTTTAGGCCCTTCTACGAATTCTCTGGGCATGCCTTAACTATAGCCTAATTTGTAGAAACTACGCTGTTTTTACGAACTTTTAGTTCATGATCTGCTGTAAATAATATAGTATAATTCTTACTGTATGATAATGTATTATGAATTAAAAGTCAAACGACAGCTGTAGCCCAGCTATAGCTAGAGCATATTTTTTATAGCTTATATTTTCTCATAAAAGTTTTAATTCACAAGAAATATGGAAAACTGACCAATATATTTAAAATTTTTTAAGATGGGCAACGGGTTTTATCTTAAAAAAGTGATAGAAATGCTATAAATTTGAAAAAAAAACAATAAACCATAAATTTGAAAAAAACTATATAGTAGAAAATTTAATGATAAAAAGTTTTGCGATTCTTACATTCTTTTAGCAAAATAAGAAGCGGAGATGTATGCTAAAAAACTGAATCAAAAGCCAGCGTAATTTAATTTATTATTAAATCAATAAATTAAGTCAATTTCTGTTTAGTAAAAACTGTATTTCTCGTATTTACGAAGCAAATTCTATAAAAGCTGAACAATTTTTTCTCTTCCACAAAAAAGTGTTGCTTACAAATTTTTTGGGCAATAGAATATTATTTACGTTCTCTCATCTCTATTTATCATGAACATCGTTTTAAACATATAATAATTTGGTTTGCTGTTATCAATTCAGTGTAAAATAACAACTCAAAATCAAAGCACTTCTCATGTATAAGACATCCATAAAACACCTAAATATTTTAGATGAACAGTAAATTGTTACCAAACAGATTTTTAAATAACAATTTTTTTTTTCGATTTTTCAGCACTGAAGGTAAAACTGCAACTTAGGAGATCGTACCGCCAGCTAGTGGACCTGGGAATCATGCCTCGTAAGTCTTTTCTAATAAATTTATTGGTATCTTATACTTTGTGTTGCTTCCTGATCAGTAGTACGCTCTTTATTACGCTAATTTTTTATAAAGTTTAAAAAAAAAAGATTGTTGCACATGAGAGAGCGGATCGATACATACGTCGTGACTTATGACGTCGATGTTTGGTTCCTTTGCAACAACCACGTAAAAACTTACAGTATAAGGGACAGCCTCTTCTACTTATTCTTTTTATAAAGTCTTAGTACTCTATTTGAGTATTAACATTTGGGTTATTTGTATACTGGAAAGATTAATAATTGAACATTTTAGACACAACAGCTACTTTTACCGTTGGTATAATGCAATCGTGTTTCACATATAAATTATATTGCTACGTTAAATAGTCACAACAATTGTGGGTTTCTAAAAACTTTTCATCCCTTACTTAACTGCAAACTATTATTTATTTCTCTTTATCGGAGCATACCATTTAGAAGGGTATTCCGTACCACGAAATATAGCTTAAAAATTACTGTTTTTACCATGGAATGAATTTTTAAAGAATTATGCGCAAAAAACATAGAACACTTCACCCATAAAATCTTGTACGAATAAACTAACAATGAAAAACCATTAAAACTTTGAAAAAAATAAAATAAGAAATTATGTGTATAACAAACGCCCAATTATACTAATAATTAAATAAACATTTATTAATGTATAGAGACAAGCTGTTATTCAGAAAAAGGCTTGTAAAGTTCGAAAACATTAATATTTAATTTAATGAATAATTTTGTTACATATACAATTTACAATGAAACTTATTGGATTATCAATCAGTACTTCAATGTTTACATTAAAAGTAAGTTACGAACCACAATATGAGAAGTAATGAGAGATTTTCTATTGTCAAGATAGCTTGTAGAATATTACGGAGAGTAGTTTACTCGTATGTAGAAGATCGCTGGTCCAGATCTTGAAGAAATTGTTTTTTTTTCAGTTAAATGGGATTAAGAATAAAAAAATAAAATTAAATAAAAATAAAAACTTGGTTTCTTCAGATATGCGCTTTGATTTAAAGACACAAGCTAGTGCGGCTTGGTAATATTATAAAAGTGTGTCAGGATAGGTACATACTTTCTGTTAAGGTCACGAATCTATTATCATCAGTTTACTCTGTAGCGCAAAATGCATCTATTGGAGTATAACTTTAAAAAGATTTATAGTTACATCAGTATTTCTTTAATGTGCGTAGTTTAGAGTCTTAGAGTGGTCTTACCATGAAGTTAGTTAGCAGCAACATTTTTCCAATATCATTACGATAAGCTTGCTATCATAAGCAGTACTCTTAACACTTCTTAGGGATCGTTTTGAGTGAGCAGTTGGAACTGCCACTAGCCGCCACTGGCTACAGCGAGCGGTAGCCAATCACAGGAGACAGGAGGCATCGGCTGGCTGCAGCTAGCAGCAGCTCAGTCTATAGTTAATCCATAGACTAGTTGTATACACAAACTATGCATAAGGCTGCGGCTAGCCGCAGCTGGCTGCTGCCAGCCGCTGCCTTCCGTGACTAGCTGACGCTTGCTGCTGCTAGCTGCAGCCAGTGGTGGCCAGCGGCAGCTCTGACTGCTAACTACGAAGATCCCTTACCCAAATGATGTCGACAATGAGTATTTGATATATTTGCAGTACCGTTGTCAAAAGAAGCACTCATGCCATGGCCCATTGAAATGTATTAAAACCAAGGTAATTTTAAGTGCAAGCAATTTAAATCGTTCAATAAGTGTTTAAATGACTTGCATATTGTTACAGTGTTTCTGAAGATAATAAATAATTACAAGCTTTAAAAATATATTAATTTCCAAGTCTTATATCAAAAAATGATAGTTCAATATTTCGAGGTTGTTAGTTTCCCCAAAAAATGTTTGGTTAAAAAAATGTTTAATATGGTAGATTGTTTTAATTTATTGCGTATCATATCACGCAATGAGTTACATGCAAACGTGGTTTAGCTGAGAATTAGAGTGCACTGTCTGCTTTCATTGTGTTATTATTTTCAGTACGTAAAGATACCTTTTCCAGTACAAGAAAATAATGTTTCTTGAGGGGAAAATTAATAATTATAGGTGTTGAAATAAAGTACCATAAAAGTTTAACATGAAGGAAGTACAATCAGTAGTAAGCTTCTATTGCAATAATAAGATCAAGTTAAAATAAGCAACAAAAAGTGAGGAAAATCTCGTTCACTGTACTTGCATTTGAATTGCTTATAATTTTTCTAGAAGGCTTTGTCTAATAGTAGAAATAACAGTTAAAATGAAAATGAAAGAAAAATGTAAAATTGACATATTTCTACAAGTTTACCTAATACTGATTTGTTTTTTTTAATCTTAGTCGTCAGAAAAAATGCTCACTTTATTAACCAAATTATTTTTGATTACTGCATTTCCTCACGTGTATCAAGTCCAGGCATACTAACAGTACTATTGTTAAGCTCAGAGCAAGGCACCATAGAAGTCATATCCAAATAGAAGTGTAGATTGATAAATATTTATGTAGGATACTTAATTTTAATGGTATTCAAAATGAAACGAATTATAAAAAAATTTTGTTTATCATTGTACGAAGCAGAATCGTCGTTTTTGTACCTACTAGCGCATGTAGCCATGATAAACACCAAGCCTGAGGTACTTCGTGTGCAACCCACAAAGAAACCTCATCCATTTTGAGAGTATTGACAATATATTAGTAGTAAAAAGTAGTAGTAACCTTAGTATTTCTTGGGAATATATAAAAAATCTATTTATTAAACAGTAATAAAATTGATTATTAAAAGATTAAAATGGGTAAAAACAATAATATGTTTTTTTTCATTCATTTCAATTCTAATTTAAAGTCTAAATTATTTGAAGCTCTATCTGCTTTTTTAATAATATAAGTTCCATTTTTTATCTTCGTTAAAATAAATTTATTTTTAATACTAGTGATTCATTCGCAAAAATTAAAAACTAGGCTATCTCTTTTTGGCCACTCGTTCTTGAACGATTAAACTTTTTAAACAGACTCAAATTTGGTACTGTTTACAATTCTGGTTTCTTACTACTGTGCATAAAATCTCTCACTCTACCCTTTAAATTTTTAAGATGTAAGCAAAAAGTTGTTGATAAATATCCTAAACGTTTAACTATAACAGGTGAGTGATACAAACTGTGTATAGTTCGTGTCACAAACTAAATTTATAAAGATGCTGAAGTCATGATAAAAAATCTCTTATTAATTAAACAGCAAATTTCATCATCTCTATTAAGATTTCTTGTTAATATAGTCTGTAAACAGCTAATACAAGCAACTTCTAGTTTTTAAAATATTCAGAAGTTGAAAAAACATCTAATCCAATCAACAAGTAGTTAGACAACTAACTTTTATACTCTGAAGCCTTCCAGAAATAGACATGTAATGCTATTGGTCTTGGCTGGCTTGCTACAAAAATTCTAGAGGCTCTGTTAAGTTCTTTATAAACAACTTCGTTCTATAGGACATGAAAATACTTCTGTTACAGGCATTTTTTTCTGAAACAAAAGTGCAACAAATAGAGTATTTTTGTGTTTAAATATCCTTTGACATGAAGTTTCTAAAATCACTAAAAAATGCCCAAACTTTTAAATTAAAATGATGTATAAATTTTTACTTTATCGGTATACCACATAAAATAAACGGTTTAATCAAACACGACAAGTTTTTATAAAAAAATCTCTGTGTATACTTCCTTCATACATATCTTCAAAAATTATTGGCACTTCATGAACTGTTATTGTTCATGAACTGTCTTATTATTGTTCGTTTTTTAAAATTGAAAATATTATAAGATCTAGGACACCAAAGCATACATTCTTATTAAAACATCCATGGAATTTCTATAAAATAAATTTTTTTCACTTTTACTGCAGTTTTACTTATTTCGTCAACACATTCTTTATCATTAAGAATCTTATCATTCTTTACATTGTGAATAGTAATGTTTACGAGCCAAATACATACTGAAAAATACAAATGTTTTTTTAATTGTGTTTTTTTAATATCACAAAAAAACTATTGAAATTTGTATAGAGAAATTGGACATTTGTTTGGATTTGGTAAAACTAGTGGTATTAAAGGTTGGTTGAGGTAAGACCTCAATGCAGCTACGCGTAAAACAAATTCTTTTACGCTTATTGATTATCCAGAATGGATTTCGTTATCCAGCGGTGACTCTTTGTCTTCATCTTCTGTACTGTTGGAGTTACTCCACGATTCGTCGTCCTTCCAGGCATTATTATATTCGTTATCATTAATATCATCACTATCAATTTTATGATTTTGTAAATATAAACGTGATTTTATGTAGTTAGCATTAAATATTGAAATTCAATTAGTATAGACGTGCAGTAACACAAGGAACGTAAAACTACTGTTATAAATATTTTTGATAGCACGCGCTGCTCAACCAAGTATTTTTTGGTGTACTTATGCCAAAAATCTTGATAATCGACCCAGCAGATCAGCGTGATTCACAACAGTGCTTAGCACCGTTAACTACACTCCCATTCTAAGCATATCTGTATAGTCTATATATTTCTGGTGTCGCGTACTTAAAAAGGTAGGTGAAAAAGTAATGGTAGCGTTTATGGAAACAAAAACAATAAGGAAAACTTCTCTCGCAAGCTTCGTCCACTTGGTTGCGTAATAACACAGTAAACAATCTACCTGAATACTGATAGAATAATTTCCGATCTCATAAACTTAAAAATCCACTATTCGCATACTATTTCAAGCATGTGACATTAGGCGTAAACACAGTCTGATAAGATTACCTTCCGCGTTATTTTCATTATTGGTTATCTCTTGATTCGATTTGTTGTCAGAAGTCTAGAGGTTTGGCTAATATAAGTTGATAAAATCATGAACGTCTTTTCGACATACCCCAAGTTGCGTTGTTACATTTTCAACAGATTCATTACAAATAAGTTAAGTTACTTATT